AATGATAATCACCCTGGTTTAGAAGCAATGTCAGCAGCAGCATCAGTCAGAAAGACAGTCATGAGACTGAAATGTTTTACTGTACTGTACTGAAGTCTCTGATAATCATAAATGCTGTGCTGTGTGTGTTTCAGTAACGGCGGCGGCCGCAGCGGCACGTTCTGTGCCATCAGTATCGTGTGTGAGATGTTGTGTCACCAGCACTCGGTGGACGTCTTTCACGCCGTCAAAACACTGAGAAACAACAAACCCAACATGGTGGATCTGCTGGTGAGCGTCAGAACATCCACATCCACATCTGACAGTGGTTTGAGCACATCTACTGAGGATTTTACTGCTGCAGACGGAGCTGGAAAAGAGTTACTTTCATCACTGTTTAATGATAAAAAATTATAATAATAATAATAATAATGCACATCTGTGACCCTGGAGCACAAAAGCAGTCTTAAGTCGCTGGGGTATATTTGTAGCAATAGCCAAAAATACATTGTATGGGTCAAAATTATACATTTTTCTTTTATGCCAAAAATCATTAGGATATTAAGTAAAGATCATGTTCCATGAAGATATTTTGTACATTTCCAACTGTAAATATATTAAAGCTTAATTTTTGATTAGTAATATGCATTGCTAAGAACTTCATTTGGACTGGTCTGAAATGTGAAAATAGTAGAGATTTTGAATGCATTATAACATTGTGTTCACAGACTGTGTTACACTGACCCCTGCTGGTGGTGTGTGTGTGTGTGTGTGTGTGTGTGTCTCCTGCAGGATCAGTATAAGTTCTGTTATGAAGTGGCACTGGAATACTTGAATTCTGGGTAATCTGAGCGGACGCTGCTCTAATGTCCCGATCTTCTCCATCCTCATCATCCCAGACACTGAAACACAGCGACAGAAAACTGAAACCGGAGCCGAAGCCATGTTTCCCAGCACACCATCTTCATCCGCTCGCGTCTTCTGTTCCTCTAACACTTCTCTTGCCTTCGTCTCATCGGACGCGTGTCTTCATGTTTGTGTGGAATGCGACGTCACGTGGATGTTGATTTTATCATTGTTTTTATGAACTCTATGTACAGTCCGATCATGCGTGGCATTAAAGCGCTCATATTAACTCGTGTTTCTGCCCTTTCTGTGGTTGTGTTTGTGTGGAACGATGGAAAAACTGCTGAAATTGTCGCGCGCTGAAACGTCCCGTCCGAAGATCCAAAGCTCGTGTTCGTGATCTTTTTTTTTGTTTGTTTTTGTTTATACTGTAAATAGATGAAGTTCACCAGATAATTTATTCATTGACCAATTTTTGTGAAGCACACTGAGTGACAATCATGTTTTAATTTGGTCATTATTATCATACGGACTCCACATATAATAGTGACCAGATTGTATTGTTAACTTTTTATTTATCTGGTATGAAAAAAAAAAAAATCAAACCTATAAATGCATATCTATATCTGCCAAACCTGTCGTCCGTGTGTTTTTTGTGCAAAGAGAAGCAGTTTGTACTGTAATATATACTGTTTATACACTGTGAGTGTGAGTGTGAGTGTGAGTGTGTGTGAGTGTGAGTGTGAGTGTGTGTGTGTATACAGTATATACATGTATATCATTGTTTATTTTATTTCAGGTAACAAAATGTTCTCTTATGGTTTTAATTTTAGTTTAAGTTTTAGTTAACTACAATCCTGCAATGCACTCGGTGTAATTGTGAAGTGCATTAAAACAGTGTTATTAAAATATTTAAAAATTACAAATATTTCCTTAATTTAAATAAAATAATCATTTCTGAAATAAAACAAAACATTAATAAAAAAAATATTTTAAAAAATCAGAAATGGTGCCTTGGCAACTAAACTGAATCGAAACAAGCTTTAGCAAAAGTATTAAAAATAAAATAAATCTATTAAAAATGACAAAAAATAAAACAATTACTAAAACATAAACAATATGCTAATATTTCAAATTTAGGTTTTTGAATTACATATAACATTTCTGACAAAGTATCTGACAATTATGCATCGCATTAAGTTTATTTGTTTATATTAAACCTGTTTCATCTAAATGGATGGACATTTTATATGCAAATCAAATACATAAATCTTAAGTTTCATCCTGAGTATTTATTTGAGTGTGTACATACATTCGTGTCTGTTCCTCACACAAAACTATCATATAGAGCTTCATGAAGAAAGAGGCATATTTTATTTGCTGAGGATCTTTGCTTTGTACTTTTATGTCGTATTTGACTGCGTTTAGAAGTGTTGTTATACAAGTTAAAACACTGAAGTTTTTTTTTTTTAAAGAACTTTTACTAAAACCATAGGAGTCATTAACATTAATAAACATGATGTTAAGCATTAAAAAAGCATTAGACTCGCAGCTGAAGGACTGAATAAAGGCCTGTTCAAAGAAAAAACAATAACTATAATGATTGATGATTAAACCGTTTTATAATGATCTTTGAATTCTTTACAAAACAAGTACATCTCCTGAAATCTGAAAAGTCATTGCATGTGTGAACGGGATTATAACAACATTGATTGATAGCTGTTGAGTATATAAGAGAATGGGATCTTAAATCCACTGCTTTAGTCATCAAACTTTAGAAATTGTGTGTTGATTCTGCTTGTATCACATCTTTTCTGTTGTATTTTTCAGTAGAAACCGTGACTGAAAACGAAGACGAGACGCTTTACACTTCAAACCCATTTATTCTGATGTTACATATTTACAGTAGCTTTAAGATGCTGGAGTACAAATAAGTGCTGCAGTTAAACTGTGTTAAAGGCATATTTCAACCAAAAATTTAAGTTCTTGTCATAATTAATTTTTTTCCAAACCTGTATGACTTTCATTCTTGTGCTTAACACAAAAGAAGATTCTTTGAAGAATGTTGGGAACCAAACAGTTGACGGTAGCCATTGACATCCATTGTATGGAAAAACTACAATTAATCGAATTATCACCAATATTTCATTACATAGATTGCTTTTTAAAATTTTTTTTATTGCCCGATTCTTGTTTAGAGGATCTTAAAAGTTTGAAATGGTCTCATATTTGTTCTGTCTGCTGTGTTTAACACTACCGCTCGAGATGATAAAAGGTAATCCAGGACTTGCTTTAATGGCTAATGCTAAAAATAAAAAATCATAAAAATGCTAAGAAATCAAATAAAAAATTAACTGATTAAATTAAAATGTATTAAAAAAACAGGAAGGAAGAATATAAAAATGATATAGTTCAATCATTAAGATGTGATGGAAACGTCAAATTTTGGGAAAAAATAAAATAAATTTCCGCTTGCTTGAGGTGGTTTTTGACTTGTGTGATAAAGGGTTGATGTGAATAATGGGAGATGGAAAATAAATTCTGATGTAGCGAACATTAAACCCACGTGACTAATTGGCTGTTTCCGCTGATGGTGATTTAATTACTGTTGGTGTTGGGGAAAGTTACTTTTAAAAGTAATGCGTTACAATGTTGCATTACGCCCTAAAAAAGTAACTAATTACGTTACTGAGTTACTTTTTATGGAAAGTAATGCGTTACGTTACTTTTGCGTTACTTTTTAAATCTGGACAGGGCTTGCTTGTTTGTTTTTAAAATAAAAAAGTTATATTTTTGGCAAATATAAAAGCCTTTCACACCAAAAGTGAAATGAAT